AGCCATTTGGGATCCTGAACATGCTTACATCATAAACGACATTGAATCACTGCAAAATCGTGCCGCTCGCTTCATATTTTCAGATTATTCACGTCATTCCAGCGTCACAGCACTAAAACGCCGAGCAGAGCTACCCGAACTACTCCATCGTCGCAAACTTTCACGCCTATCTCTTTTCCATAAACTTTACCACCACGCGTCACTTCACGGTGATTTCTTCGAGCCACCTGCCGTTATTTTTCCACGCCGCGATCACCCCTACAAAGTTAAACGCATAACCTGTAAGTCATCTGCCTTTTCCCGGTCATTCATTCCACGTACCACAATTGATTGGAATAATCTACCATCGCACATTGCCTCAGAAAAAGACACCACGAAGTTTCAAGAACAAATTCAAAATACTGATGCCATCTAACTTTTGCTGTTTTACATTGTTGTTTCATCTTTTCCGGAACGTGCAGAGCAAATGTGTACTATTTTGTTTTTACCTTGACTCAGCTTTATTGCAGTGTGATGAGTGAGTGTATGTTTTTTTGTTTTTTTTAGTGTATCCTTTATTTTCTTTTTATTATTAAGTGTATTGATTGTTTTTTAGTATTCTCATACGTTGTTCAATGTGCACTAGTTCCTATTGGAACGATTTATGTACCCCCCCCCCCCCCTATGTAATACCCTCTCACGAGGGCCTTTAGGGGTAATATGAATAAATAAATAAATAAATAAATGTTGTTTTCATTTCGTTAGGGTATTTGATTGAAAGATAGTATATACACGAATAAATGTCACCCTGCATCGTGAGGTACTAAAAAAGTTGACCGGTATTCGATTAAAAAGTATAAGTTACTAAACTTCGGGTTAAATGTTAATACGTCTCTCTAATAAAAAAGTTAAATATAGGTCCGTGCGATTGTTATATTGCCAATCGGAAAGTTTTTTTCTATTCTCATATTGCCAATCGGAAAATTTTCGCTCACCGGGGAGCAGTAATAAAAAAGTTCTTGTGTACTGCTTAGTTTAATTCAGAGCAGAAAACAAAGATAAGCGAGAAGTGTTTGCTATGTTATGACAGCTTAAGTATATGTAGGTCAAGAAATTCAACGGTATAAGCAACTAATGACTCGCCTACATTTTTTTTTTTTTAAGTGGCGAAATGAAAATTTAAGCCGACCGTGTAAATTTGTTGAACCGGGCCCTCGTGACTGTCAACCTGACTCTGCATACAGACGATCAATAAATTGTGCAAACCAAAAATTAGTGCAATTTTCATTAATTAGGTTCTGTTTTATTTCATCTGCTTATTCATTGGTGCGTTCGTTCGTTCCTTCATTAGGTTCGTTCTAGTGTGTAAGACGTACATGCCGTACATGTGTGTGTGTGTGACGGTCCAACCTGTCGGGTCGACATAGTTGCCCAATCATGTGTGTGTATAATTTTTTCTTGCTTTGGCGACTGTAGTAATTAGTGGCAGGGGATAAAAAGAAAACTCCCCACTGATGCACGCAGATGCAAGGTATAGTACTGGGTGGCCCAAGGAGCGGCCAGGCTCTTTAAATCGACCGCAAAATTGGGCTTCTTAACCTATCGCGCTACGATTTTGTGCAGCGTTGCCCACAAATGGTGCCTTTTTTTTTTTTTTTTTGTAAGATTTGCAAAGAGCGAATTTACCTCAGGAAAAATTAAAGAAATAAAAAGACTTAGCTCCTATGGAAACGCAGCGAAGCCACCGGTCTTCAAACAATACGGCGCCGCTCGCACGGGCGACAAGAGATGGCGCAAGCGTTCGTGACGCCAACTGCCGCCAGCGAACGAGCATGCGGCGCCGAGAGCCGGCGTCTTTAGCAGGCGATCGTTTCGACTCAAAAGCGGCGCGCGTTCCGCAGGCGGCGATAGTCGCAGAAACAAAAACAGGCGCGGTAACAAGGAACTGAAAAGCAGACGACATCGGTACCCCGAAAGAAACGCTCAAAATATCCCGACAAACATTTTTTTTAATAGATTATCTGTCCATACATTATGTTTTATTAGTAAGGATGATAAAATGATGCATTGGCAGCTGATATCAGAAGAGCTCTTGGCGCCGTATGCTCGTTTGTTGGCGGCAGTTGGCGTCACGACCGCTTGCGCCATCTCTTGTCTCCCGTGCGAAGCGGCGCCGTATTGTGTGAAGACCGGTGGCTGCGCTGCGTTTCCATAGGAGCTAAGCCCTTTTCTTTCTTTACTTTTTCCTCAACTAAATTTGCTCGTTGCAAATTTAACAAAAAAAAAAAGTACCATTTGTGGGCAACGCTGCACAAGAACCGAATTTTGCGGTCGATTTAGAGAGCCTGGTCGCTCCTAGGGTCACCCAGTACATTACCCGAAACACGCCAACAGGCAATCGTTACAGCGTTAACGTTCCACGTTGAATACTATCGTTTTCAGGATAGTAACGGTCGGTAGAGAACACAATGCATTTACTTTATAGTTGAGGGAGTTGAGGGTACATAACGAAGCGCAGCAAGCGTAGAATCTGTAGGCTGGGCGCGGGCCACAGTTTCTAGCTGCGATGTCTGATAAATGCAAGGATAGAAGGGTAGGAGAGGGCATGGCGTCAGCCGCGTAACCTCCACAAGCCATGCTCCCTAGTTTTCAGATGGAGTGGGCGTAAGTATAGAGTAGGTCGAGCTTATAACCTCCTTAAATAAATGCAAGGATCTTAGAAGTACTAGGGGGGGGGGGGGAAGGGCACGTTGCAATATTGGTAAAGCCTAGTCATAAAAAGTTTAAACGAGAGAGAGAGAGAAGCGTTGTGATAGAGGTGGGGGGGGGGGGGGGGGAGGAGAGAGCCAATAGTGTATGCGCACTGGGCGCTTTTGCGATATTGTGCCCAGCGTGACCGCAGATCTTTCTGGCGATTGGTGCGCGTGACATGTCACGTGCGGGAGGGATGGTTGATTGTAGAAGGATTCCTTGCAGGCTTGCGCGCGCTCCGTCCTGTAGGTTTTATCAGATCGAAGGCTAGACGAAGGCTAGCGACGGCCACGTGATGTGGTCTTGTTGGGATGATAAGCGAGGAGAGTAAGGAGGAAACTGAGAAAGAGGCGAGGTGTCAAGGGAGCATGGCTTATGGGGGCTGCAGCGCTCCCTGCTACCTTTAACCATCAACCACGCGACGGTCACGTGCTGTGCTCACGTTGGCCCGATCAGTGAGGAGGGTAAGGAGGAAAATGAGAAAGAGGCGAGGCGTCAAGGGAGCATGGCTTGTGGAGGCTACGGGGCTGACGTCGTGCCCCCTCCTACCCTTCTATCCTTGCTTTGCCCCGTAGACTCCCAGCAACCCAGCAAACTTCAGCAATTAAATTGCGTCCATATCCCACGATCCCCGATCTAGCAGTTGCACCCACCCTCACTCGAGCCTCCCTAATGTTGGATAACGAGACCTTTGCAAAAAGAGCGCTCTGGCCGCCGCCATTTTGCGAATCGAGCGACCCCTGTCCGCCAGAAATTTCTGGCACCCGCCTGAGCTGTGGAAACCTGGTCAGCCTGACTCCCCACCTGCATTGTGCATTCGGAGTTCGCCGGCTTTTCTCGGAAGTTTTTACTTTATTTGCCTGTTTAGGATGCTTACCCTTTGTGTGTATGCTTACCCTTTGTTTGTGCTATCTTCCAGTGTGAGAACTAGGAAATACCAGGGCTCGTAGCCTGCGCGGCCTTCGCAGGAAACGAACGAAGAAAACGAACGTCAAGCAGCCCGCGACGCAGGCAGTTTGACGTTCTTGGAGAATTATATCTCCGTTGAGATAATCTCCAAAAAGCCCACCCGACAATGTTCCGGGTCTTCGCGAAAAATAGCTGATAGGGTCGGCTCCGGGATGTGGGGACGGAATAGGCACTTTAGTTCATTTGATTTGAGCTGTGCAAAAAAGCAGCTCTCTTCTACATGTTCACCAAAACACGCCAAATTCCGTCCGATTGTCGTGAAATGCCTATCGTCGACACTGTATATTGGATATGCTGTGTTATTTGAGACCTTTCTCAGATCCTGTTCGGATAATGCGGCACCGTGGGGTACGTAGAATATATGTTGTTCGAATGATGAGACTCGTTGAATTTCATGTTGTGGACGGGGAATATCCAGGCAGTTCGGATATCCAGTGTGGTCAAATATTTTCGACGGCTAAGACCTTTGTAGATTAACACGGCTGAGTGTACGGTGCCGTAAGAAGATCAACATAAAATGAAACAAACATTCCAGTTGCATTTGTTCTGTCGCGCATGGACTCACCAAAACAGCTTTTATTTCTTTGTTTATGTTCCCAAAAATAGTACAATGCATTCTAAAAAACCCCGAGAAATTCTATTCGCCATAGAACACAAAATAAAAGAATTGAGCGCGGCAATTTATCCTCCACCTGCGTCCGGCCACAGCCCACTGGCATGAAAACCCACAGCCCAGCGCAGTCGGGCAACACTGACGTACCCTCTCAAGACTAGGGACGCGCACTATAAATCACTTCGTTCGAGACTGCCGCTGGAAAATCGCGAAACTCGCTTTAAAGTTTAAACAGTTGTATTTTTTTGCATTTCATACAGAGCATCTACATTGCGTAGCTTTGCGGCTCCTGTCGGGTTGAAACTTTTCGTCCGATTAGGTCAAGCAAGATCTTCCTCCGAGGTCATTTTCCGTTCCAAACGGAACATTGAAAAGCTCTCCTAGTCCTGCCGACCTTTCCACAGACCACGGCAGCCCGTCAGCATAGCTGCGGCGTAGCAACAGCTTGCGAAAGTAATGGCGACCGAAACTCCAAAACCGAAAGCTGGATTTTACATGCCCGGTGGCTTGTTCAGAGACTGGCGCCACTTTAGTACACGTAGCAGAGCGCGGTAAAAACTACAGTGTTTTATTCTTTCTGTGTATTCTGACCAACGTTGATTCTGACGCCACTTTCCCAGGATAGAGTGGCTTTAAATCTTACCTGCTGCTAGCGCCACCTCCCAGCGGCACATCGCTCTTTTTACTTATGATGCCAGTCCTCATCTTGAAGGGAGTTCCCCTTCCCCGAAGGACGCAGCGAAATCTGGTTAGGCTAAAGCTGCTACGCTCAGTTGTTTGTGTAACAGTCTCTGCCACTATTTATTCTGTGGACTTATTGACCATAAAGTTCATTAGCTTCGCCTGAGCCACGAGCATCTCTATATGGCATCTGCATTGTTCGCATGTACAAGGTGCAACGCCCGTCATCCATTCGAAGAACTTTCTCAAGGGCAACAGCTTTGTAAAGTAGGTGACCAAGTGCTTTAGTGCGTTTTACCGTTCCCATGTGCTTTACGTTTCTATGGTTAGTTGGATAAGAACGAGCGAGGCGTCTCGAATAAAACAGAGGTCCGGTGGAGCGTATGCCGATGCTTGAGGTCGGTCTACCTTTGTTAGGCTTACTGCTAGCGGTAGCTGTAACGTCACGGAAACCTTTGTCGCGTTCGTCAGAGTGGCCGTTATTCGTGACTGGATCGGTATTGTGTGCCCGTGAAACTATTAGTCGGTTTTTTCCCTTTATTTTTATTTTTATATTTGTGTAAGTGTTACGTAAATCTTGTTCGCGATATGTAGGCTTCACCGGCTCATGACAAGTTAACTTCGCGTCGCCATTGCATTCTTTTGACATTACGTAATCCAGCGATTTGTCCTTATATTGTTTGCGCCATTGGAGATACGGTACGGCGCATAAAGTGCTGGCAGTGTAAGAAGAGCTGTCCCAGATGTCGGTGCCGTGACCCAGAATCACTGAAGCCGGCTTAAATGAGCGATGTAACTGAGCAACATCTTCGATCATTTTCGACTTTTGGACATTTAACCGTATTACCGCAATTCTTCACTTGAGAGCCAGAAATTACTGGTGCCATGGGGACGATGCGTAAATAGTTCCACTTCAAAAGTTGCCTGTTTGGGGAGCCTGGACATTTCTGTTGGAGGAGGTAGTGGAGAGTTATTTAAAAAACTGGGAGACAATGGAAAGGAAGAAAGGTTAGCATGAACAAAGCTTGCCTACAGGGCACCACCGCAAAACGTTGTGTTTCTATTAATCTCAATACAAAGCTGTGCAACGTTGAATGCTGTTTTTGCCCAAATGTAGTGTCAGCTGCCCAATACAGATGTCAAAAGTTATGAGCGATTTTCGTAAGTTTTCAGTGGTGAAATGGTGGCTGACAGAACCCGCGATACATGGGACTGTATGGCGCCAACTACCGAGAATGGGCCCCCTTTTTCCCATTGAATGTTTCAGAAATTCGCTTACAATTTTCGAATAACATGTTGGTTAATCCTGAAGCTTTGGCTTCTGGTCTGGACTGCTAGCACTACATTCGAGCAGGGACTCAGCATTAAAAGATGCATGCTTTATATTTGTAGAAAAAAATGGCACTATTGTTTTTTTCTTTTTTTTTGGGGGGGGGGGGGGGGGAGGGGGGGGGCACGCTGTGGTTTGTTTTGGGAGTGGGAAAGTGACTTAGAAGGGAAGGGTAGGGCATGGAGAGGTAGGCATTGCATATGCTCGAAACCTACTAGCCCAATTACATTATACGTGAGAAAATAAGCCTGAAAACAGGAGCGCATATGGTTAAGATTGCTTGACCATGCATCGTAGCAAAAGGTGTCGAGCCTAGTCAGTGTATGGGATGCATCCAAATTACATCTTAGCTCTGAAGCGGTGAATCCTATCCTAGAGCCATGTTCCTGCAATGTGCTTGCTCAAAGTGACTATATTTACTGCGTCTGCCTGAGAAAATCTTCAGGGGCTTTCTGCAGTGCATAAGTCGGCTTCACCACAGAATGCTGAAATTTTAGTAAAAGGTATTTCCAGTGATAAAGGCAGGATGCAAAAGCTTTAGCCCATCATGTTAGACAAGTGGAGAGAAAAGTGATTTTCCAAAGAATTGAACTCTAAGCTGTCCTCCATTGGTGTCGTACTATGGGCCCATCCATACTAGATCTTGAAAATGTTGACGAGACCCACCTCTTTAATTGGTTGCCCCTTTTCATACAAAAGACCGAGGTCTCAGTAACTTGCTGTCATGTCTGGACCCATGTTCCCCACAACATTGTCAAACACTATTCACGTCTGCAGCTCGTTGCTCGCCCTCTTGCGACGGAAATGGGAGGCGCTCTAGCGGGTGTCCCCCAGTTCTGCTCGGCGGGTGCGGCGCAACTTCTTGCCATCATGGCTCGCAAAATGTCATTTCCAAATGCAAACAACTCTTCACTTTCCCGATATAGTGCTGCAGCCAACCTTACTAGAGGGTTTTGCAAACTCAAGTGCAGTGCATTTGCGTTAGTGTTTCGTGCTCATGCTGTGCATGCGCGTCGTTGCCATGCGCAAATTCAAGACCCCAAATTTGGGCTCCGCGTACGCGCAGTATGGAACACGCAATGCAAACCCCGTGCTTGCGTTCGTTCATACGCACAATACTAAAACTCGCTACTGTTTAACCGGTCTTCCACGCCAACAAAACGTGCTGCAGCGAGCAGATGAGCCAGTGGCTAGGCATTCCTTCGAATTGGGGAGGCTGAAATTGGCAAAACGACAGTGCATGAAGAAGAAAATTTTTTTAAAAATATTGCAATAAAGAAAAAAGAAATATTTTTTTATTTTAGGGCATTTGATTTGGAAGGATTGGCGGCAAATTCAGAAGTTTTGCCGATTCTCAAAAGTCACGATTTTGGTAGCTTCATATGCTTTACCCACAATTAATGTCATTTTACATCAATTTCTCAGTCTGGCTAAAATATTTTCTTTGATTTTAGACTTTTTATTTTATAACTTGTTAATTAAAAATGATAAAATTGGCACCAGTGACGATAATTTGACTGGGTTGCCATAGTTGTTTGCACTTCTGAAATATCATAAGCGACAAGTTATATTAGAGCTTGAAAAACTATGCATTAAAATAGCTTTCACTGGCAACAGATGGCAACAGAAAAAATAAAACAAACTCGGGGCAAATTATGGCAAACATTTCTGGTCCCTCGTCCAGAGTTTTTATTCTTTCTTTTGCCAACACACTTTTAAGTTAATGTAAAATAGCTTACTTGTTTTATTATTAATACAAATTGCAGTAATGTAGGCCCCCAATAAACGGTACAATCACAAAAATACACCATCTAACTATAACAGTCTTTACAGAAAGGTATAATTTTGTTTCCTTTTAGCATGTGAAAATTTCTGACATTGTTTTCAAGTGACACATTAACACTAGATATAATATAAAGTCATGTGTTGCACATTGCCTTAAAGTACACGCTCGCTGCTGTCCTCTGACTCATTTTCCATTGTTTTTTTGTAGTAAGAACAGCATTAATTTATATGTTTTGTGAACATATCCTTAACTCATTACCAGTTGTGATATTTTGTATAATTTGGTTTGATACTCTTATTCTTGGGCTGGGAATAATGCTAAGGCAATTAATTATCTAAATTCCCCAAAGCCAACTAACCAGTCCACAGTTCATTATTTGACAGGACAATTACCTGAGTGAAAAAATTCACCAAGGACACAGATATCAGCACTGAGTTCTTAACAAACACAATATTCTATGTTACCTTAAAGGAGCTGTGCAACAATTTCAGGGCTTTGCTTAAATAATTGTGGAAGTTGATGCAGTGAACTTCTGCAGTGAACTACAGAAAACAGATTTTGCCTGGATACCCTAGTTTTTACTTAAAAAAATGAAAAAGATCCAGGTTTTTGCCGCCTCTCAACTCGTGCATCGTCTTCCGGGTCACGTGCACAGTGACGTCACTAGAGTAGGCGCGGAGTTCCGGAAAAGTTCTCTCTTTAGAGCCATCAGCGAGCAGCGAGAACTCATCCGCTGCCGACTGCGTGACCACCCGTCCTTGCCCGTCCGGCGCTGTTCCCCTCCCCCTCCGGCTTCTGGCGGCTGTTCGCGGTTTTGTGGACCTAGGATAGATGGCGCCACTAAAACTCCGTATAATAAAAGTTGTCGATGATACCAGGGTGTTGACGCATTTATATATACGTTGGAACGACAAGATTTGTAAAAAGAGTTACCTTTTATCGAGCAGGTATTCGCACAACTTGCTATCTTTCTTACAACGACCCAAGTGACGTCACGCCGCTTGTTTCTCATGGCCGCCGCTCGTGGCTGCAGGTCGGGAAATATTCCAAGTTTTGCCTCGCTATTACGCGGCGGAATCGCAACATTGCGATGAAAGGAGGTGTGTTTTCTGCCATTTGTGACACAGTGAACAATATCAAAAGCAGAAAATGCCAATTCTTTCAACGTTAAAATCGTTGCACAGCTCCTTTAAAGGTGTATGAAAGACCCTGTTTTTAAAGGGATACTGAACTCTTGGAGGTGTGTGAAAGTGCCTAAATCGGACACGTATGTCACAAAATAAAGCTTCCACAAACATTCTCTACACCCCAATAATTACACTGCGAGACACATCTTGAGTTAGCAGAGAAACCGGAATTAAGACTTGTTTTCAGAAATTAAATTCAAAATGGGAGTTTCGGTTTCGTTCCCAAAGTAAAATGTGCCTCCTGGCGTAAATATTACGCTAAACATTGGTTTTGTTTTTGGGATAAACAGGTGACCTGCATGCATAACGCCCTAGCTTTTTTCGTATTCGCGGAAATAATTTGTCTCTCAGTGAAGCTAGCACACTAGGCAGGCTCAGCAACTGGCAAACCATCGTGCACCTCCGACCCTCACTATAACCGCCATTTCGGAAAACGAGTGGCACCAGCTATACACAGTTGGAGTCGCGAACATGGCTTACGGCTGTTTTCGCCAAGCGACTGCATTAGGTACAGGGCCACAAATCATTGTGGGGCTTGCTTAGCTAGCTGTTTGGATAGCATAAATGTGCTCACTTTAGAGAATTGTACTCATTGTTTTTCACCACAACAGACATTACTTTTTCAAGGGTGTGGTAGGTTGAAAGCTGGGTGCTGCTCTTTTAAAAGCGGGAAAGGGGTACATAAATGCACACCTGAATGTTTTCAGACGAACTTCACGTCCAATCATTTTGGCAAAAAATAGAGGCGAGTCAATAACAAGTCTCAATTAAGTTTCCGACCCAAAACTATAATTTTCTTTGTGGGACTGAGCAGGCAACATATCATGCTTATTATTTCCTCGTGGATTGTGTTACTGAATATGAGGTAAGAGAGGTTCTTTGGTCTTTTCGTTCATTTAGGGCTTAAAATTACATTCTTTTGTGATATCTTTGATTCATTGTACCCATCGTTTTCGTTTTGTCA